GCCAGTGCTCACCAGGACAAGAAATAAAAATAATATCAAAGACCCTATCTAATTGCCTCCCAGTCCCAATTCCCCTGTCAATTCCCCTGACAGAAAATGGCCACCGGTGCTGGAGAGCCGCTAAATGCAGGACTGCTGCTCCACCAGCCAGTGGAGGAGGTGTTCAGGCAGTGAATGGGACTGTCACAGCTGGATTCTTCAGCATGTTCAGAGAGATTTCTCCCAAGACAACCACTCACGCAAGACAGCTTCCGCAGCGGATCATTATCTCCGCAGTCTTTGTTAGACCCACAGGAGCGATTTGCATCTAGAAAGCAGTCGGAGCCAGGAAGGCACCTCGGCCACCTTCATGCAGGCTGGACCTGGAATCCACAGCCCTCAAGGCTACATTTGCAAGAGTCATTAGTTCTGCGGCTTTGAGAACAACTCAGCATCTGCAGGAACCGGCCTAAGTCCAGGGACACCTGGTCAAACCTCTCCACAGACTTCCTAAAGGCTGCTCTCGGGGCTAAGCCCCGCTAGATCAAAGCTGGAAGGGTTGTGCAGGTTGTGCCACTTTACCTTGACGGTGCAGTCTTTGGAGCACGATGCAAACAAACAGCCAGAGTGGGAGAAGCTGAGGTGCAAAACCTGGTCATTGTGCTCCGTCAGGGCCTGCACTTCCACGCAAGGGATGGTGTCGTAGAGCCTCTGGAACTCGTCATACCAGGAGACGGCAGCTGTAACACACGAGCAGGGACGTGGGACAGGAACGTAAGTGGAGGGAAGCGACAGACCTGAGCTAAACACGGCAGCCGCAGCATCAGTCTTTATTAAAGCGCAGTCTTTGCTGCTAGCAACGCCAGGAGCCCTGCTGGGGCCACCACCCCTACGGCTTCAGCCCAGTTAGCAGGGCTTAACGCTTTTCTCAGTAGCTTCCCCACACCCACACACAAAAAAAATCCTTTTTTCCAGTAAACGCACAACTCCGCACCGTACTGCTACTTTCTAAACCAGTACAGCCACTACAAGCAACATCCAGGGCAGAGCTGTTAGCTATCATCTAACAAAAGCCCTGCTCAGGACAAAACAGCCATCACAACTGCAGACACGCTCCGGCACAACGCAAACAAATCTATCACGGGATGAGAAGGAAGCTGCTCCCCAGGGTACCGGGCTGATTATCTTTATCTTGTCTAACACAGAATTAAGAAGGTTCCAGAAAGGTGATGAGACCAGGAAAAAAACTGCCTCCATGAGATAAGAGACTAGAAAAAACAAGAGAGAATTGCAGGAGCTGGATGCAGCGTGCCGGGACAGAAGAGGAGCCCCGCAGAAGAGCCTGGAGCACACTCGCAGAAGTCACACCGACAGCCAATAAAGAGACAAATAAAGAGGATTTTTAACAAAGTGCCCGGTAAAGCAGCCTACAGACTTCTTGCAGCAGCAAATCCTGAGGAAGCAAAGAGGATCAGACATGTATATGGACAAGGGCCAATTTCCCCAGTTACACTGAACAGGGCTGAAGGTTTTTTTGGAACTCGCTGCAGGCAGGGAGCAGCTTGCTGCCAGGACATCCCGCCATTCCTCGCTAAGCAGGGGGCTTCATCCCCCTCTGAAGCTCCCTGTTCCAGCCCGGCCAGCCGGGAAGCAGTCTGGACAGATCCCATCTGGCCAAGCAATCCCAACACTTCCTCTTACAAGATGCACTGGACACCATTCCCCAAACCACGGAGCTGCCCGGGGCAGGCAGGCTGGCAGGGGATTCCCCAAACTCCTGCTCCAGCCCCTTCCTGGGCCTGCAGCCACCCCCTGCGCCCGATGCCTCGCGGAGCTGCCTCACAGCCCCAGAAGTGCAGCCTGGGAGGTGCCTGACTACGTTACTGAGTGACTGCTCAGTCCCTATTAGTGCTAAAGAACAGGGCTGGCAGCTTACTAACTAACTGCAGGAGGCTGGAAGCGAAGGAGCCTGCTCGGAGAGCCTCACATAAAACCTAAAGATAATGTCCTCAACCCCATGGAGCTCCCCGGGTCTGCGCGAGTGAAATCGTGCATCCCGACTTGTCCCATCCACATCTCATCTCTTCTCAGAGCCCTTTCGCGTGGGCATTCCCCGCCGCAGGGAGAGGGGCTCCCGCTGCTTGGTCCTCAGCATTTCTTCCTGTCCTTCTGTAGCAACTGCAGCTCAAGATCAAGAAGCCAATTCCCCCCCACCGTGGCCACCGCTGGGAGCACTGTGCACACGATGGATGGAGCACAGCCCTCCCGGCCCTCTGCAGCACGCTGGGAAGGCTTTTCAGACTCCAAGAGAGACACAGCATTGCATTACCCTTCCAGACCGCGCCACGCTGCTTCCAGCGCCCGATGCTCAACAGGGAACAGACCTGCGATCCTACGACTGCCGCCACCGAGGCTGCTGACAGCTGTACCCAGGGAAGGCCCCACCAGGCTCAGCTGATGCCGACTGTTAATGGGTCATTTTCCTGCTGCAAGCCGAGGCCAAGATCAAGTCCACCCTGCCCTCGCAAAGCGGGTCAGCGCCTGCCTTAGCATTTGCCCACTGTACAATTAAATTGCCGCACACCCACCTCCCTCTCCAGACCCCAGGCACACGCGCACTCTCTCCACAGCCAGGATGCAGCTGCTGCCCGTGTCTTATGGAAATAGCGCGATCAGCTAATGTGCGCTTGTGGCTCCTCCGAGTCCGGATGAGAAAGGGAGAGAGCCTGAAGCAGAGGCTTGCTGCGAGGTCCTGATCAGGAAAAGCCAGCAGTGATTATCATGGAATCCACCCGGGCTGCGACGCAGAGCGCGCAGTGACTCACTGCGTCTCCTTGGGATCTCTCGCAGCAGCGCCCAGACGAGCTGTGCAGCAGCTACCGGCGAGCGCCTGCCTAGAGAGAGCCCAGGAACCACCTTTCTGGGAAAGAACGGGAAAGTCGAAGCATTTTCAACCACCCGACGCCCCTTTCTGAAGGGTTCGGGCAGACCCAGAGCCCTTCACACATCACCACCCGAGCCTGCAGGCTGCTAACGTGATACGGCTTAGTGCTCCGCCACCCTCGATGCCAGAGGGCTGAGCACCAGAGGGGGAGGGGATCCTCCCGTCTGGGCTCACGGCGGGGGGGGGCTGGCCCCCCCCACCCCGGGGGGGG